ATCAGACCAATTGCATTATTAGAAACTTTTCGAAAGTGTATGACTAAAGTATTTACCAAAAGACTTGCAGAAATTCTATTAAAGAAAAATATATTAAGAGGTCCAAACTTTGCAGATCTTCTATGGAAAAACCAGTATACATCCTTAATACAATAATGGAAAATGCAAGAGATAACAAAAAGGAGCTGTAGATCATACTCCAAAACATGAAAAAGGCATTTGATTCAGTATCACTCAAAGCTCCACAGAAGGCATTAGAAAGAATCAAACTGCCAGAAGTCACAATTAAACTTGTATTGAATCTGTTTGTGAATAGACAATCCAGAATTATTACAGATTTGGGTCCAATAAATTTCTTTGAGATTCAAGAAGGGATAGAACAAGGAGAAGTAATTTCACCTTTAATCTGGAGGATATTCTACGATCCTCTTCTTGAAAGAATTCAAGAAGACACGAGTTTAGATTATACTATAAACCACCAAAAGCACTCCAGCCTAAGGATAAACTACACAAATAGGTGTTCATGGAGACAAGCAGTAGTGGCATTCGCAGATGACACTACATAGATTGCAAAAAGCAAAGGGCAAATAGAGGAAATACTTGCAATTGCAGAAGAGTTCTTTAGAATAAATGATATACAAATTAATCAAGTTAATCACGATGAATGTCGAAAACAAGTATAAAGTCAAAAAGATTTTCTTTGGAAATGAATGGATTCAGGAAGAAAAGAAAATGAAGATTATAAGGTTTTTGGAGATCTGGCTGAATAGTAAGATGAAAGAGACAGCTATCAAGACCAAAGTGAAGAGAATTGTGCATTCAACAGCTAGAAGTCTTTTTACGAAAAAAATGACAATTAGTCAAGTGTCCTATATAAACAACATGTGTATAATTTCCAAGTTATGTTACATGTTGCAAACAACGAAATTAAGTAAGGTAATGATTAACAATATGCATAATCCAATAATCAGACTTGCAAAAAACAAGATTGAAATTGCAACATCAGCAAGAAACAGTATAATACACCACAAAAGCATGGGCAACTGCAAATCACTATGGAGTCAGCTCCTACTTAAGCAGATCTCAAGCTTAAATAATCACTTTAACTCAACTAGACCAGAAGAAGTTCTAACAAAACTAAGAATTGAAGAGGGTCTCTCTCTTGTTGATGCCTCAAAAAACAATTAGCATAATGAAATTCTTGAGGTATATGCTAAAAATTAGAAAAACAATTTAGCATGTTTAACGATACTAAGAGCAAAAGATCTAAACCTTACTTTCAAGTTTAATTTATCTAAACTACCAGAGTATAATCTAAAGCAAAGACTCTGCAGTATATTGGGGTCCCTTTTCTCTGCCTCAGTAGCTCACTATTTGAGGGAGTTAGAGCTAGTATATATTAACCAACTATTGAATCAAAGAGAAGACCAAATGATAATATAGCAACAACTCAAGTTTCTTAGAAAGGGGACAAGCAAAGGCAGAGTTGCGAAATAGTTCAGAAAGGTGGAAGAATTATTATTAGAAGATTCTCAAAGAAGACAAGTTAAAGCACAATACAAAACTGAAGACAACAATAAGTGGGCTTTAAAAGCTCATTTAGCAAGATTATTCACAGATAACAGAACCAAAAAATAGGTAGTAGTTAATATAGCATTGGACACAGAAAGTTCAGAACTGGTAATAGTGAAGGTAGTTTCAAGAACTTCTAAGAAGATATTAGTAGAATATTGGAAGACAATTGATGATAACAATATGGGTAACTTTGTACTTAAGAAGTGTTTTGACTGTATATTTAACCAAAACAAGTTATTCGAAGGATGTGAAAAGCTTTTTTATAAGAAAGAAATTCAAGGATCTTTTTCAGCCTTTGTTAAGAAGAGAAAAAACAAATAGAGATTAGAAATCCTACTAGATGCAATTGAGCTTCATCATAGTAGAAAAAAAGTAAAAATCACAAGAGAAGAAATACTGATTTCAAGTATTGTAAGCTATAGTTTGGATAGAAATGATCTGACAACAAGATATATCCTCAAAGCTTAAAGATAACCTAGTGGAATAGAACCAGATTAACTCTTCACTCATATATGATAAAGTAATCTTTTACACAGATGGTTCATTATTCTCAGTTAAGAACAAGACAGAAGGTCTCGATCGTATGGGAATAGGAATATTGCAAACAAACCAAGACGAGCAGAAAGTAATTAGAGAAGGTTTTGCAAAGACCCAACATTGGCCTTCATCAACCAAGTCAGAATTGTTAGCAATCTGGCTAGCTATACTAGTAACACCAAGCAAAAAAGAGGCTAAGATTTATACAGATAGTGTAGCAGCAATTGCAGGAATAGAAAAAGTGAAGAATATTTTAACAAACAAACAATATGTAGTATTGTAGAATTAGTTAAAGTTAAAGAGATTCAATTAGAATTAATTAAGATGAAGAGTCATAGTAATAATAGATGGAATGATAAAGCAGATAGTTTAGCTAAAGAAAATGTTGCGGTAGATAATATAGATAGCATTATTTTTAACCCCTTATTGAGATCTAACGTTTCACTATTCTGCGATGAGATATTTATCGAGCATTCAGCAAGAGAAATAACCAAGACACTTCTCGACTTTAGGATAGGTGCAGATTGGAAAGAATCGAAAGCAATCCAAAAAATTGAACTAGAAGAAGATTACAAAAGAAACAATTGGACCTTTTTTTAGAAAAAGAACAAGAAAAGCAACAGAATTAGGTGCACAACAATGAAAAAAGGCAAGTGCCTTGGAACCTTGTTCAAATGTGCTAATGAGATGCTCCCAGTACTCAGAACACTATTACGAAGACACCCAGACTTATATCAAGATTCCAATTGCATTGTATACAAAGAAGAAGAAAAAGAAGACCAAGATCATTTGGCATGCTGCAAGGAACAAGAAAGTAATTGGAAATCTGCTAAAAACTTTGTAGCAAATATAGCTTGGACAGCTCTTTCTAAGGAAACTAAAAGAGGAATTGACAAAGATCTTTTAGAAAGAGTATTTTAGAGAAAATCAAAAGAAGAATCCTTCATAGCAAGAGCCAAAGCAATGAAAGGTTTAGTTCAAAAAGATATAATAAAAAAGATACAGGAGTTTCTACAATCAAGTAAAGAGACCAAGACGTATATTGAGCTTGCTTTAGACACAATATGAAATTGCTTTCACGAAAATATTTAAAAGAGTAGATGCGAACTCCTCCAAAAATGAAAAATCAGCAAAGGCATTCTAACTAGAGACAAAAAACGGAAAATTAAGCTACCAGCAAAAGAAAGGAAAATTAGACCAGAATTTGGCGAATCAAGATCCAAAGAAGAAGTTTTAAATAGAACAGATAGAAAACTTAAAAAAGAGGAGGGTTTAAAAAATATAGAAAATCAATGATATGATAGTTTTAGAGATCTAATTCAAAACAGCTGCAAGCCTTTTTGATATAGCTTGTATGGCTAACCTGGTATTAGCCTTCTGACTTTGAAAAATTTTCAGACCAGTGTGACAGACCACTTCTGGGCACCCATGAGGTAGCCAGGAAATGTCAGGCCTAAATATTAAGCTCAACATTATGTAATAGTTTTATATAATAATCTTAATAAAGGATCACCGGCAAGGTTGCCAAAGTTAAAAAAAAAAAAAAAAAAAAGATAAAATTTAAATATATTATTTATAAAAAAAATATTTTTAATTTTTATTTAATAAATAAAGGTTAAGCTTAAATAAATTTTAAGAAAACTTAAAAAAATTTTTTAAAAATAATTTAAACAGACAAATTTGTCCGCTAGATGGATAATGTTTTTTCATAGTTTAGTTTTTTGGAGTTGTTGATCAGGAGATCATTAAAAAGAGTTGTATTTTGTGAAGATAATCTGTTCTAACTTTTTAATCAAAATTATTTAATATATAATTTAAGGTTTATATAATTTAACACATCTGTATTGTAATATATCTATTAATCAACTAATAAAATTATATAATCAGATGTAATATAAAATTAAAAAAATAACAATGTTTTAAAAAAAATTATTTGTAACTCATAAGTTGGCTTATAAAACTACTTTTGTATTCTAACAGACATATACTTACAATTTAACCTAACTCTATATTAATATTAACCCTTAGAACAGTATCATTTATCACCTAATTTTTTTTATTAAAAGCTTACCCCCTCCCCCCTTCTTATTATATGTTTTGATCAGATCTTTATATATAATTTTAAATTTTTACCACCTCCTTCCTAAAAAATCACCTCTAAATTAATATATTGTTGGTTTATTTTGATTTTTTATTACACTAGATCTTATAGAATGTGTTACAACACAAATACACCAAATGATAAAATTTATAATTTTATATATTTTATATTTATTAATTTTGTTTTTTAAACGTTTTACTAAATGAAAGTTTAGATTAAAAATTATATAAAAAAAATTTTTTTAAAATTTTTTTGTATAACTTTTAATCTAAACTTTTACTTAGTAAAAAGTTCAAAAAAACAATCGATAAAATATAAAATATATAAAATTGTATATTAAACAAATTTGGTTAAAAGATCAAGATAGATTATCTTAATAGAAAAAAAAGAGTTTTTGTTTAAAAAAAAAAATTAACATATATATTTTAGGCCATACAAATTTAATTGTTTCTCATAACCCGGTCGGGTCAAATTTTCTAAACTTGAAGAAAATTTTTTTATATGTTTTAATAGCCGGGTGAAATTTTTATTAAAATTTATATATAAAATTTTTTAAATTTAATGTTATGAGAAACAAAAAATTAATTTTGTATGGCCTTATAATTTCTATATATTTTAAAAAAAAATTGATTATCCAGTTATGTGACAAATCTTGTGACTGAAACTATATTGTCACCTTAATTACATTGAATTGTTACCAACCAAGTGATTATATCGAGGTTTGACTGAAAGTATAAATTTACGTGTCTCTGAGAAAAACAACACGATTTTTTAATCAAAAGAAGTCATGGCGGGAGTTCAAGCCTTTCGAACTGTGAAAATAAACGTGAACTACGAGCAAGATAAAAGTATGTTCAAGACTGTTCAAACTCGTATACGCTTACATATTTCGCGTTTTTTTTTTTCAATAAAACATTTACACGTAAATACTTAAGAACTATATTCGCTTTATTTCTAATTTAGAGGATATAAAGCTTTTCTTAGAAACCTTCCAGTCAAGGAGTGTCGCAAGCCCAGATGAATTTATGGACATCGACGTGGAAAATGACGATCCCAATTCCTATAAGTATAAAAGGCAACTTGTAGGTTTTTATATTACTTTTGCATCTTATATTCGTTCATTTACTAAATCGATTTATTTACGAAATTATAGCAAGCTATAGCAAATAGAGAGCAAGGTGCTCTTATCATCGAATTGGACGATATTGCAGCTGTAAACATTTAGAAATTTTATAAGTTAATTCCTTTTTTTGCTTAATCATTTATTAAATATTAACATTTTAGTGGGAAGACAAAGCCGAGGGTGGTTTACTTCATAGAATTCAAGAAAACACGCGTCGTTACATCAAAATGTTTTACGATGTTATTGATAAAAAAGAAAATAGACTAATGCCTGCACCAGAAAGAGAAATTGATTTTGATGATGATGTCATCGACGTAATCATGCAACATCGAAGAGACAGAGATAGCCGAAGGTCTGAAGCAGATCGAACTTCATTCCCACCATCATTGACAAGGAGATAGTAAGTACTAACTTTCTTTGATTCATATATGAGTGTCGCTAAAAGAAAACCCGAAAATTTAAATATGACTTCTATTTAAATTTTCGGGTTTTCTTTTAGCGACACTCATATGATCTCAACTTTTGTAAAATAGTTGTCAATGATTACCATTGATAAATTTTTTATTATCATATAGTACCATATATTTTAAACCGTTATCGTCTGAAAAACCTTATTCCATACGTGGCGTGAATGGTAGTTGCGTTGGCCATTTAGTGACTATACAAGGCATCATTACTCGTGTTTGTGATGTAAAGCCATTCTTAATGGTTGCTGGGTTTTCATGTGAAATGTGTGGTGAAGAGGTGTTCGAAGAAGTGACAAAAAAAACTTATTTGCCACGCGTTGAATGCCCATCAGAATCTTGTAAGACAAATAACGTGAAAGGGAAATTATATATGCAGACGCGCTCTTGTAAATTTGTACCGTTTCAAGAGGTCAAGATGCAAGAATTGGTAGGTCAAATTATTATTATTATCGTTTTTTAAACACTATGTTTAGGCCTTCGCATGAACCAGGTGGAGCGGGTAGTAGCAGTAGTTTAGCCCTGTCCGTTGTGTAAGTGCTCAATTTCAAGCCCATATTTTTACCCTAGGGTTTGGAAATTTGACACCATAGACTGGTTCTTGTGGACCTATCCACGGGTAGCCCATACTGAGAACTAACACACGGGCTTGGGATAGATATTAGCAGTACCTAACCATACTCATTTGTGTAAGGGTTCAGCTTCAAGTCTTTACTATTACCCTAGTATCCAAAAGTCGATACCTATCCTGGCTCTTGTGTGCCTATCTACAGATGCCTATGGGTAGCACAAGCTCATGCGAAGTAGGGATTGGAATAGTCCGACTAATTGGTCGACTAAACATAATAATTTGCAATACGGATTTTTTAGTCAACTAAACTGACTCCAATCCTTAATACAAAGGCCTACGAATGTTTAATTAAGCAATTTTAAAAATTTTTAATTTAAACCTAGACCGAACAAGTTCCAATAGGACATATTCCTCGAACAATGACCATCTTATTGCATGGTCCTTTGACGCGTTCAGTAAGTCCTGGGGATGTAGTAAATGTATCTGGAATCTTTCAAGCAACGCCACATTATGGGTATAAGGGAGGAAATACTCTACTGACCGATGTTTACCTTGAAGGTCAGTATGTTCATCAGCTCAAAAAACAATATGATAAAATGGAAAAAATTCCAGAAATTCAGGAAAAGGTATACAAACTCGCTAAGGACCCCGAGGTTTATACTAAATTATCGAGGAGTATCGCCCCGGAAATATATGGTCATGATGACGTAAAGAAAGCACTGTTATTATTGCTCGTTGGCGGCGTAACAAAAACGATGGGAGATGGAATGAAAATTCGTGGTGATTTAAATATATGTTTAATGGGAGATCCAGGTGTTGCCAAATCGCAATTACTCAAATACATATGTAAAGTAGCACCACGAGGGGTATATACTACTGGACGTGGCAGTTCAGGCGTGGGTTTGACGGCATCAGTAGAGCGGGATCCAGTGACGAATGAAATGGTACTTGGTAAGAATATTATGTTAACAATATGCATTACCACATAATGGTTAGTTTCATAATTTAATTTGTTTAAATGTTAGAGGGTGGCGCATTGGTTCTTGCAGATAATGGTATTTGTTGCATCGACGAATTTGATAAGATGGAAGATACTGACAGAACATCCATTCATGAAGTGATGGAACAACAAACTATTAGTATCAGCAAAGCAGGCATCACAACTACATTGAACGCACGTACGTCAATTCTTGCTGCTGCGAATCCACTTTATGGACGATATAATCCAAAAGTATCTCCAAGTCATAATATAAACCTTCCTGCGGCTCTTTTGTCGAGGTTCGACATTCTGTTTTTGATCTTGGATAGGCCGGATATGGACGAAGATGCAAGGTTAGCACATCATGTAGCATACGTTCACATGCATGGTAAGCAACCCCAAACGGGTACCGAAGTGCTGGATGCAGATACGATCAGGTGAGTTCATTATCATAACATTTAGTGACATTTAATACCTATAATTCACAAGATATTTTATGAAATAGACATTACATTGCTGAAGCTCGTAGTAAACGACCAGTTATTCCAGAAGCGATAGCAGAACATATGGTCGATACATATTGCGATAATCGACAAGAACAAAAAATCGCAGAAGCACGAAAGAAAGAATTTACTTATACAAGTGCTCGTACGCTTTTGGCAGTGATTCGTTTATCACAAGCATTGGCGCGTATCCGACTCGAAGATGAAGTCAAAGATGCTGATATTGATGAGGCATTAAGATTACTTATGGTATCAAAGGAATCATTAAATGATCCAGCCGACAGAGATTCTAGAACTGATAGATCACCGACATCCGCTATTTATGATATTATTATATCAATTTTCCGAAGAAGTAGAACTAATGGTACGCTTCAATATCTCGATATCAAAGAAAGAGTGATTGCGCAGGCATTTACAGAAGATCAGTTAAAGGAATGTATCAAAGAATATGAAGAAATTGGTATTTGGGCCTTGAATAGTGAGCAGACTATTTTGTCGTTGCTTCAGGATGATCAGTTTGAAGACGATCAGAACGAAAATAATGACTTATAATTTTGTAAATAAATAGAATAACATTGAGACCTGAAAAATTTTGCTAATAAAACGAAAAATTATATTGTCTATTTGGAAACTGTAATTTTGTTATCCTCTTTCAATTATATTTCATAGTATAATCAATAACAATAAATATTAAAATTTTTCGTTTCATTTCAAATCCTCATCATCAAAATCATCAGGAAAATCTTATTCAAAAATGAAATAAATCATTAAAATGCGAAAAAATATATCAAGTTATCATAATAAATAGATAAATAAATACCATTAAAGAAATCCTGGTCAACAGTTTTATCACTTTGTTGGTTTTGCCTGTGATGATGACTACCGCCTTTATGATGCTGTTGATGTACAGGCCCTGAAAAGAAACCTTCATCATAACCACCAGCTTCTCTTATACCGTAACTTGACTGAGGATTATATGAGGGACCGGCAGTACCGTCGAGTTGTCCATCGTCGTATTCATCCATATTCATTGGATCATAGCCATATTCATCTTAGATTTCGGTTTTTTCATATTAAGTCATTTTAGAAGGAAAACAGATCCAATCCGCAAGTTTTAGGACGAAGAATAAAATATTATAGCACGAATAAGGTTGCATATTTATTTTTAATGCATTTATCCCTTAATTTATCTAGAACCTTCAAACTTACCATCTCCTTCTGGCATTTGAGACATTTCGTCGTTATTTTTTTCTTTTGATTTCCGTTTTCTTTTCCCTATCGTGAAACCTTTACTTTAATAAGCTTTTATTATTATTACTATTACTATTATTATTATTATTATAAGG